TAGTAGTGCGAAGGGTTGCCGCCGAGCGCGCGCCGCCGCAGCCGCGTCGGAGGGGGCCCCGCGCGCGCCGCGGCGCCCTTGGCCTCGCGGTACGAGCCGTCCACGTCCCGCCGCAGCCGCCCCTCCTGCGCACGCCCCGCCCCGAATCATCACAGCCCGACGCAACGCCGCTTGCTAACGATGCGGCGCGCGAGATGCAACATGCGGCGGAGCCGTGGGGCACTGCCACAGTGGGGCCGGGCTCGGGCGAACACGGCCGCTTGTGGCAGAGTACGAAACGAAGGCCCGGCCCCACTGCGCGAGACGCGCTGTGGTGCGCACCGCCTACCTTCCCAGGCGGTATAAAGGTGTCAGATCAAGCTGCCGAAATGAACCGTCAAACAAGGCAGAATGGTTTAGTTTATGAAAGAAGACACGTGGAAAACTTCCGATTACGCTCTCCGAAATGATGGCAGGAAATTTCAGAAGAAATTTTAAAAAATGGTTGTTAATACTTCCTGCCAAACATTTTGCAAACGTCACTAATACAATAGGAATGTACGATTTCTTGTCATGTCGTATATACGTTCCCGTATGAAACAGAGCTGTAATCGAGCGGGTTTCGTATTTTCTATTCCACTACGTGTCCCCTGTGCGAAAAGAGTTGAAGAGGCGTGCGTGGTACAGCCGAATGCAGTGTGCAATGCACTACCCACCGGCAGTCGGGCGGCTGTTTGTGCCCGAACGTTTCTCCTGCCGAACACGGATTCACTCGGACCGGGGGCGTAGCAAATTTCGTTGCCCCCTTATTCAGGTATTTCAATTTCAGACTGAAATATACGATCTTGAACAAAGTAGCAGATAATAAAACTCACAATTACATAAATCAAAAATGTAAAAACAATTTTAATACATAGTCGACCATTAACGCCCTCAAACACGAGAAAACGGGGATCGTGTGTCTCGCTTACGCCTATTGTAAATTTTTGATCCCTTTGAATAAGCTGAAAAGTCGTAAAAATAAATTTTACCCGACAGCAACATTTCTTGCCATCCTTGGATTGTTTCAGCTAATCTTCTGGCACCAACAAATATGCAACTTGACTTACTTTATGCAAATCAATGATTTCAAATCATTGTTGTACTGTGAATAATCAGGCCACTCAAACTAGCTTGTTAAATTTTATGCAATTTACCTAACATTCGTTAATACACACAAACACTATTTATTTTCGCATCCAGAACATATTTAATTTGTCTGACCATTCACAGATACAGAAAATGATTAGGAGAATCCAGTCGTGCACTTCTCTTTTGAGTAAAAAATTGACACATCAGCTCACTCAAAAAAAAATGTCGCTCCCGGTTCCATTGAGGGAAGGAGAGCGGCGGAGACACATCTGCAAAATTGAGTTAAGATTCGCAATTTCTAGTTTTTCAAATGTTGCTAACCTTGCGGTGTTGATACTTTTATTCGTCACTCAACCATGTACAGTAAGAGTGGGGAAGAGATTCTGAAGATTAAGTAAACGTGCGCAGATTATATTTCTCTCCCATACGTCTTCCCCGTCACATACAAATTCTGCTGTTTTTGACGAAAATAATTTAAATATAATTTTTGTGAGTCGTGCACGCTGGTGTAGGCGCTGGTGTAGGCACATTAAGCCATTCGAGGAAATGCATGCATGTACTTACTTAACGAATCATCCCTCAGTATCTTTCAGCAAATAACTATTTGAGAAAGGATACACGCGAAATAAATATTTTAAACAAGTTCGTTGGTACCCGAACGTCTTTTCTCCTTGCTTTTTTTTTATTGACACTTTGACGCAACCAAGTCAACGTATTGCAACAGGGCACAGCTTCCGGGAAATAAGATGTAAACTGCTGGTTTTATTCTTCGAAACATTCCAAAATGTGAAATACACTAGTAAAGTATATTAGCAAAGATGATTAGAAACAACGTTGTGCAAATTTCCATCGGCAATTGATCGCTTTTTAAGCTCTTTTTTTTATACTAATGAGTTAGAAATAAAGAAAACTATTCTGTGCATATGTCTCATCGCGACTTGTCAAGAGAACGTTTCTCAACGTGAACCAACAGCAAGAAATCTCGACGAAATGAGCTTAGAGTCGGAAGTATGAAAATCAAACTTTTCAGACACCGTGTACCTGCACAAACTGAAGGGAAAAGCGACAGTTCTTCGCGGCCACCTGTAAGGCTTCAGTGTAGTAGTGAGCGTTGACTAAATCCAAAGTCTTCGAGTTTTATCCTAGAGAATAACGCCAAGAAGGAATTGGGATCGAATATGAATCCATTACACTTCTGGAAAAGTGTATTGACGCACAAATGATACCCAGCATCATAACGCGTACCTCCAAATTTGAAAAGATATCCTTTCCTTTTATTACTGACTGTTGTTTCTGATGATAATTTCTTGCTTGTAAGATCCCATTTTTTTCAAACTTATTGCTCAAATATAAATTACGTGCTCATGCGGTACAGCAGATATTTCTATACGCTAAATGGCATAAACGATGAATGTGTACTGATTGACTCGTATTCATAATTCCTCGCAAAATATAAATTTAAGTCAGTTCTTATATTAAATTGTTTAAACTGTTAAAAGGATGGATTGCCACGGTCGGACAACGAACCTAAGTTTCTCTGTTCTTTGTACCTCTGAGACAGTCAAACAGTTTTTCGGCGACTTTGAACCTCATTTCGAGGGATACCCGTGATAATAAACAGGACCCGGTGCTAAATGATTTCAAAGAATGAATACGAATCAACTCGCATAGGAGACTATTGGCCTTTAGTTTATTGAAACTCCTCGTTGCTCCCACAGAAAATAAGCGTAGGATATAACTGTATTAACTGGTGAATAAAATAGAGCGATATCCTGAAAATATTTTTCTATGCTCTGAGAAATGTCTATTTTTATCGAAAAGTTGTAAAGAACTTAAAGATTCGTTCATCGGTTCTTATATTTATATTATTCTTATTATTGCATTAGATTACATCTTTTGGTTATTTTTCATTGTCATATTGGAAATTTCTGATTGTTTATAACTTAGTACTTTTCTGAATGAATAAATGAAGAGAAATGCGCCTGCTGTTTCTTGTCATCTGTACATTTCATCTTAATCTGTACGTCACACATTTCGAACTGTCTTTGTCTTTAATAAATCTGTATAAGAGCGAAAGGAGTTTTGAAGTGAAGCTTCTGTTCTTGGGGTGGAGAAAGGCCATATAATGAAGAAAACCCGACTGGATACGTCCCTGAGCAGGTCCTGGAATTTCGGATTCACGTGTTAGTTCCAGTGACGTGGGTTTTCTTTTTGTTTTCTGCTACGTTTATTTATAGTGCCCGAAAACATTAACTGATTGCTATTGAGAGTGTTGTTAAAGGAAGATTCCGATTAGAATTAGTAAAAGAAAGTAGAACTGGAGCATCTCCTCTTATTTACCCTACAAAAAACATTTTACTCCGGGAATTCCCAATTCGTGTATCTGAGATTTTTCGTTTCTCATGAGCACGCAGTGGCCGTGCACCTCTTTTTTATATGTTATGCCACGGAGCAAATGCAGTTGGTAAACCCGCAATGCCTCCACGTGTCGTCTGATGCACGTGGAGCGTGGGCGGGACGGAAATGGGAAGGGAGCGCACCTCGATGGCGGCCTGCAGCGCGTACGTGAGCTGCTTGGACTCGGAGGTGGTGGCGCGGCGGCGCAGATGGCGCAGCTCGATGGCGGCCAGCACGTCAGCCGAGTGGCAGCGCAGCCCGCGGCCCTCCAGCCACCGCACCTGCCACACCCGAGCCACGAACCCAAGGCCATTGGCGGCAGAGTTAGGGGCTGCAAGTAACAAAACATGACACAAGTTGTTCTTGTTTGCACTTATTCTTCGGTTTTTGTTTTGCCTTTGCTTTTCTTCTTGATCTTAGTCTTCGTGTGCAAAGGGCCAAGCATAATCTCTTCACCCAGTGTCTTCTGCTTTCTACACGTCTTTTCCAATGGATATTGCAGATTCATCACATTTCATTTCCCACACTTTTGACGTACGATGTTTTTCAACCGTTCTCTCGTCAGATTTCCCGAGATTTTGATTATTACCAAACCTTCATTAACTATTAATATATTACAAAACCAATTTGAAACGTCTAAAATCGTATTATTTATTACTTCTTCTGATCTATTGATTTGACTTTACTTGATTTGGAAACGATTACCGTGTCTAAAAACGTGTTAAATAAGTTTTTTTTAATTTCTAGAAGTACTCTTTCCTGTCCTAATTCTTGAAAAACCTCGTTATCGTTCTTATTTTATACTAGTTTTGGTAAATCTCAAGAATTTCATATCTGCTGCTCCGAGTAGTTCTCTCGTCCAAGTATGTACATCCGTATGTCAAGGAGCAGCCTAGAAAATATTTTAGTATTTTATGTCTAATCTGATGTCCAAAATTGATATACACATTAAGTTAAAGTCGTCGATATGTCTTTATATCGGCTCTTCTTCAAAATCCTGAAGATGCAAATAATCTGTGAATGATTAAATCTTGATGACTACACTTTTACATGATATAGAGAAATGAATAAATTTTTCCTTCCAATATTCGTCGTTTTCCATTATTTCAAAGAAAGAATAGTTTACAACGCAAACTTAATTAAATGTAATGCTTTTAACAGTAGAAAACTCGATACGTCTTTTTGAACATTTCTTAAATTCTGAGGCATCAATTTTTTGGGGAAAAATACTATGTTGATAGAAAGTAGCCGGTATTTGAAAACTGATAAATCGAAGAGAAAATCCTGTATTGGAGAACAATAATAAATCGGAAGAGCAAATCCTGTATTGGAGAACAATAATAAATCGAAAGAGCAAATGGAGTATTGGAAAGAACTGATGTGGAGAAAAAAATCGTGTTTTTGGAAAGAGGGGTGGCGGGTGGCGCACCTCCCCCGCGGCCGCGACGGGCGAGAAGTCGAAGCTCTCGGGCGGGACGAAGAGCTGCCGCCACATGACGGCGCTGGCGTCGCGCAGGCGTCGGGGCAGCGGCTGGGCGCGCGCGGCGGGCGTGGCGGGCGAGGGCCTGCGGGGCCGCGAGGTGGAGCGGCGGCGCGCGGGCGGCGGCGACATGGCGTCACGGGGCCGCGAGGGCCCGGAGGTGGGGCGCGGCCCGCCGAGGCCGTGCGTCGAACTGTTGGCTCATGCGCCCGCCCGCCACGGCGCGCGCCGCCCGCCCGCCGCCCGCCGCACCCGCCACGCGGCGGGCCGACGCCTGTCGTCCGTCGCGCGGCCACGGACCGCGGCAAGAATGCAGCGCTGACAATCGGCATTCGCCACACCCAGGCTTCTACGATGTCTACCTGGGGGGGGGGGGATCAAGAACATTGTTTCTCTTTTGGGTTCCCTTGTACATTTGATTTCTACATGCTCTTAGAAATCAAATACGTTTTTAAAAAAGCTCTATATGTTTACAATTAATTGGTCAAAATGCAGGTTTTTACTTCAGATATCCCATCTCAACAAACTGATGTATTTTGATAATTCTTGTAAATTAATTACAAAGGTGTGATAAAGAGAAGGAAATAAAATTGTAAAGATACTTTGAAAACTAGAGAGTAAGGATTTGATTATTTGAGAAAAAAAAATGTTTAAAAGTTTATTCTGGACATTTCAGTTGATTTAACTGAAACTTTTAATGACACGTTAGGTATTCTAGTTCATTCTGTCGAGCAAATCATGGATTGCAAACTGCAAGAAGAATTAGATCATTATTCTGTATGGTTTGTGATTTATTTTTTACGAGCATCAATGTGTTGCAGTCTCAATACAGGAAAAGAGCAACTGAAGTTCACTTCACCTTGCTTGGCAGTGGACACTCGCTTGGAAAAATAAATAATTGCTCAAAAACTAAGAAATTTAGTAATAAATAGTTTGAAGCATTTAAAAGAGAATAAAACAGCATACGACTCAATTAAACTTGAAAAAGATGAAAGTTTACAACTTTTATTGTTTTGTGGTAGAGAGCAACCTTGAGAGGAGGAAAGGAGTCAGTATTGTAAACTACTAGAAAGACTCTCAAATTAGACATGCATCAGCTTGCGATGCAATTAGAGAATGTGCGCTCGCTATGAGATCGGTTGCCCCCTTCGCCCGAGCTTCCTCCAGCCCTCAGGGTGAACTTGCGCCAAGCGCGTGCCTCTGCGCACGTCCTCGCTCTTGCTGGAGACGCTCCCGCACTTATTTATTTAATTATTTATTATTTTTTTAATTATTTATTTAATATCGATAACAATCAACCTGTGAGGCGGACTATGGGGAGAAGTGTATTCTGTACAAGTTTTCTAGATAATTTTATTGCATTGACCTGGATGAGAGGCGCCTCTACAAGATACGTATTGAGAGGTGTCAATCGTTTTGTATCCAGAAACTCGGAGAAAAATCCAAAAGCAATTAGTTTCGATTTTGAAAAATGAAAATGTGTGTTGTTATGCGTATTTTATACTGTGTTTACCAACTGAATTCTCATACCCAGTGAATCACTATTTAGGAAAAGATGACGTCATGTGACACCAAGGCTCCAAGGAAAGGGCCCTCCACCATTAAGTAAATGCTATTCGCGTGTTGCATTATGGAACAGCAACTTTTTTTAATATTAGTTTGTAAAAAAAACCTGTTGTATTGCATGTATACTGAACTGTTGTAGTATTCGTGAAGAATGTGTTTGTTGAAATATTGAATTTATTGCAGTAATTCGTAGTAAGTTCGAGTAATTCGTCGACTACTTGCAAATGCGTTCTGACAGGTTTGCACCAAAAGCATGGGCGTGAGCCAGAGAACGTCGAAATATTGATTTAAAAATTAGTGAATACCCTTATATGTGAATGGAAATGTAGTTTTGAGATTTTTATTAAATATTATTAGCTATTGCCTGAATGTGCCTAATATGAAAACCAGCTCTCGCGGAGCCGACTGCTGTCTTCGAAAGGAATCTCGTGTGCCGCAGGAAAATGAAGTTTGTGCCTGGTCGATGGAGTCCATTTTACTCTTTATCTATGTTTTAAGAAACGCGGGGCTTAGCATCGATACGATTTTAATCCTAAATTCAACTTTTGGTTGTTTTTTAATTTTTTTTTAATTGTATTTTTACAAAATGCGCATTCAGACGCGTTTTGTCGTTGTCACGCATTTAAAGGTTAATGCGTGAAGCTCCATGTTAATATCGGAGTCACTCTATACAAACGCAATTGCGCGCAGAATAGGCATTTGTCCATTGATGTGTAAGATAGAGAAAGTTTGGCAATTGTAGTAGTTTCGTTCCCCTCACCTGTAGCACTCTTTTATAAACCCTTTACAGAACAATGTCTTAGAAATATGTAATACATCTCAGGTATGATAAACTATCGAATGCTCTACTTAGCAGACCAATTGACAATTGCTACTCACGACTATTTGTCTGGAAAATAAAATTTGTATTTTTTTTTTTTTTTTTTACAATTTGTCAGTAGGGCGAAAAGTTGTGGTGTGGAGGTGAAAACAGGAGTCATATAGGCAACCTGTGGTGCGACTCTGCATGGCGGGTAGTCATCGTAAAGTTGAATGCTTCGTCCGCCAGTTGCCCAATGTCACGGCCTGGAAATGACCTTCGCTGTAAAAGAACCTTCACGTGACTGCAGCTAAGTTGGTTGGCGACCTAAACAGCTCATTGATTTGTTGTTTTTTAACACTGTATTTTATCTTTCCTTATGTTTATTCCAATGTTAATATTTTTTTTTCTAATTTCAGGAAATAACTGTTATTTTGTATTGCTGCCTGTTTCTGTCGTGCTTTAGTCAATTAATTATGAAAAGTAATTTGCATTGCATTAGTTTGTCATTTTCATTCTCAGGAACTAAGAGGGTTGAACCTTCCGCACCTACCATACACCCTTGATTGGATTAGCCCTAAGAAATGACAACAAGGCCCAAAGACGGGCTTCAGGAATACTAAATGCGAGTTCGCTATATGTAAATAACGATATCGCGTCGCGTCATAAGTCATATGTAAGTGAAAATTTCGAAAATTTAATTTTGGTTTTGCGAAAAATACCCACTTCAAATGGTGAAACGAAATACCCAACCCAAACATTCATTGAAGTAAATTGTAAAGCAAATCTACTCCGAACACGAAACTAAGAAAACCTTCGAATCCAGGCTAGTTATTTCGGTTCGACTAATAGCGTGACGTTTTTTTGAAATACCAGAATCTGTCAAAGCTTTAAGAGTATTTGGAATATTCCAATGCATGATACATTCTTTCATTTACGAAAAGTGGAAGGGAATTTGTGCGGCAGGTAAGCAGATTGTCATACACACACACACACACACACACACACACACACACACACACACACACACACACACACACACACACGCAAATGTGATGCAAAAGTCTCAATAAATGTAACAATCTTTTAGAAGATATAGACGTTCAAAAATAAATATGTGAGAAATATTCGTGTAACATGACACATTTGTAACAATAACCTATGACACATTTGCCCAAAATTGATAGGCCACTTGTCACGCATTGGTGTTTGGCAAGTACACGAAATTTCTTCGCCAGAACGAGACCTACGAAACACCAATTCATGCTTAGTTGCCTATCACCGAGTGGTGAAATATCAAACATGTTATGTCGTTACATGAAACATCCCAACACTCGTTGGCAATGTAATGCCCTAGACATTTGTAAGACATATTGTACTTTTATGGTAATGAAAATGCTAAAAAATAAATGTATATTAGCGGCATCGTGATGTAGTAATCAGAGTGATATAATAGTCGGTCTGTCTCCTCGACCCGTCGCCTGTCATTTCTCTCGACCTGTTGGAAAGAGTCGCAGCTGGCCGGTGGCTCGCGCGCTGGAGCGGGAGGTGCGCTGTTGCAGGGCCGGCGGCGGCGGCGGTGGGAGCGGGCGCGGGCGCGGGGCCCGCCTGCCCCATGTGCGTGGCCGCGCGCTGCCGCGCGGGGACGGGCGCCCGCGCCAGCGAGGGTGAGTGCGCGGCGGGACGGCCTCTCCCAGGGCATCGAACTCCGGACCTCCCTTGCCCATTGCCAGACATTCTACTGCAGGCTGGTTTAGAATAAATGTTACAAGCTTTGGAAGGGCGAGCGATAATTTTTTGCCCATGAACATGTGGGAAATATCGAAAAACGAAGTTACGCTAGTGAAACTTTCGACATCATGCCCCAGATTTATTGGCAATCCATCCTGCTCTGGTGCAGAAACTCACGAATATTTCCCTTGGCAAAAATAATTTTTCTCTGTATTGTTAACCTTTGACTGCTTGCATATATCAAACCTCATGGCCGTCACTTCGTGAAATGTTTGTAGTCAAAGCTGAATATTTAAAAAAATAAAAAAATAAATAAACATTTAAAAAACGCAATATTGTCATTGCCGGTTGATAGGTACCTGCCTGAGGGTTCGTGTATCTGCCAATCGCCAATGCAGGTTGGCTTGCCTACCATCGAGGTGCGCTGTCAGGAATGACCTTAGTGTAACTTCGTTGATTTTATTAGTTTTTTTTAGGTTTCCCTAACTTATTCATTTGCAAAAAATATATTAGACCCACTATATGCCTTAAAGTTTTAACATTTATTCTGAACAACCTGTGTGGGACCCCTGCATTATTGAGACATCGGCAAGGTGATGCGTTTTGCCAAAGACTCTGGAATATCGTGTTTTTAGAACGTGGGAAAAAAATGAACTCAGATTCAGAAGATCAGTCTCCATACCGAAAGCTGAAATACTTCATGGACAAATATGCTGAATATGGTAAAGCCATTACTAAATCATGTCTACTAAAGAAATATTGGTTATTCTGCGTCTGCAAACAAGAATTTTATATTTTTTCTTTGAATTTTTTTTATAATTAATCCATATCTTTCTATATAGTAACAATTTGCTTTACTTACTATTCTGAAAGTTTCCAAAGTATTTTTGAGCTGCGGTTTCTATGTGAATGTTCATTCACAAATTGTATATTTTGTGTGTTACATAACATTAAACTTCAAAAACAAATTTAAAATTGATTTGAACAGTGTCGGCAAATAAAAAAAAAGTTCGATGCCCTGGTTCCTTCCGCCCGCTCCTCGACCACCCCACCACTTGAGTCATTCGTATCACCTTCTCCACCCCTGCTCACCGGGTCCTCGCCGTCCCCGCCGCCCTCGCCGCCGCTGACGCAGCCCTCGCCGCGCCCGCGCCCGAGACCGCGCCGCGTCGACCCCCAACCGCCTTCTCTTCCCTCCCCCGCCCCCGCCCCGCCCCCCTTCCAGGTCCCTTTAAACTCGTCGCTAGGCAGCGCCACTCCTTGCACACTTTATCATTTAGACGCTTAGTGTGCCGTACATTTTCAATGCTCGCTTCTTTGATTACAGCCGTTTTTTGAAATGGTGGTGAAGTGGACGTTTAATTTGCCTTTTTTTATCAAAGTGATGCGGACACCCAGTCCTCACGTTGATGCTCACGTTCATGTGTTTTAAATTTCTAATAGGAAAACTGATCAATGTTTATTTTTTTTATATATTTTCCGTGTCCTAGTAATGATTGATTGCCAATAATTTAATTAAGACAATTTTTTAGATATATTTCATTTTTCCCTTTTCCGTTTTATTCACTTATTTAATACTCAAAATTTAATGCAATTGGTACTAATTGCAGCTTAAGTTATTTTCCATTATGGAAAACGTGTACCTAGAACAATAATCTCATTTCAAAAGAGAGGAAAAGGTAATCCACTTGGACCTTCACCATCATTATTTTATATGATTTCTTTATTTTTAATTGCCCATTTCATTATCTTAAATCAGTAGTATAATCAAATCAGAATACTGCCATTCGTCCTTTCTTTACCAAAATTGGATGTGGCCATCTTGTGTCTCCCGTATCAAGTGGTTCCATTCCGTGTTGTTCCTATCTGTGTGTTGAATGTTCCAACCTTGTGCTTCTTAATGTGCTATTGCCTGCTCACAACCTGAACTCTGCTTAACAGGCCTGCTGTTCACGAAGTGTGTGCTGACCAGTTTCCCAGTCCTCTTCTGACATCGTGTTCATACCTTCAATGCCAGACTACTCCGATGTAAAGAAAAATAAGCATGTATTCATATATATATTTTTTCCCTACAGCAATCCGCTTCCAGGAGAACCTTTTGAAGACTATGCTTCAGATTGAAAACACTTTCTTTGCGTTGGGCCAATCGTGCAGTCGAGACTGTCTCATCATCTGTGATCGAGGAGCTATGGATGCTTCTGCATGTAAGTTGCCCATCCTTTTGAAGATAAAGAGTATGCATGCTCTTTGATACTTACATTATCTAGAAATAAATTGTTCGATTTTTGTTTACCTGGAGATTCATCCCCAGCGAATTCAGTAAGTCCATTCAGAGAGTTCACATTTTGATTTAACATAACAATGCGTCTCAAATAACCATCTAAAGAGAGATGAGGTGACATTGTATTCATTTATATTGTATATATCGAAATTTAATTTTAAACAGAGCTGCATATTTAAAAAAAATAATGCGGGGATCGGTTTTAGAATTGTGTAACTCTGAGAGTGTTGCTTACGATGGACAGTTTTGTCGTTCGTTCAGGCACAATTTGAAACTTTTTCAATCTGCGTTTAAATAAAAACGCTTGAAGTAAAATCTCTCTGAATGTATTTCACTACATGAAAGAAAGACGACGACGGTAATTCCCCGGTTCTTGTTACAAGTACTGTTAACGTGTCTGTTAAGACACATTATCGACTAGTTTTACGGTCATTCATATATCAAACTGAATTGGGTCATGGTTGGTGAGTAAATGTAGAATGAATTGCATTCATTCAAAATCCTTGACTATTTTTTGTGTATCTGTGTTACTCGCAATGTTGCGGAATGAATGTAATGCATAAAATCAATTTAATAATGTAGCTAGAATGTAAGACATGTACGCTTCAAATCTTCCTTTAGAAATATTTTTTTGCAACTGTCATTGATTAAAATGAAGTCTTATTATAAGTACAGTTAAAAGCTCAATTAAATAAAGCAAATAACGTAAGTTCTGGGAAATTCAATGTTTATGGCATCTCCGTTTACATCAGTTTGACTGAATTCACATGCACATGCATTTGATCTCTTTTTTCGACATGATTTGTGACAGTTCTTTTTAATGACATCCGAACAATGCAAATCACTCATGAAAACTATCCCGTCTCTAACTGCACTCTCGCATTGATCTGATATTTTATCATTAATAGCCCATCTGACTGGCAGAAGAATAAATTTGGCAAAGCGATGACATGTTCAGCTATGATAAACTGTTTTAGAACCTGCCGAAACGATCGTCAACTGGCCTGAACAAAACATACCTTGATACTGTGAAAGACTGCCCTGACAACGGCAGGTAGGCTACACATAATGCAAGTTACATACAAAAGGATCAAGAGGGATCTGACTAAAAGCGGCCCTTAACTTTGCAGGAGGGG